AGGTCCACAGTGCCCCCCTCCCCCAAGCAGTGTTCCCTCTAAGCTGAGTTAGTGTGGGCTAGCTCACAGATTTTTAGCCTCCAGCTCACAGATTTTTGTCTTAGCTCAGGAGGGATGGCTCTGGAGCAAACTGATTTATGCAATAACCAAATCACTTGCTCACAACTTTAATGCCAGTGGCTCACAAAGTAGAACTTTTGCTTACAAGACTCCACACCTTAGAGGGAACATTGCCCCCGAGGCTTCCGTTCCCTGCCCTCCCTTGCTAACGTGTCTGCCCCCCCCCTTTCCCCTCAGGCCGCCCTTCGGAAGACCCTGGCAGCCCAGAAGGGCCGGGCACCCAAACGTCAGACCCCACGAGAGGCGGTTCCTGCCGCTCAGCAGTCGGCGTTGGATCGCTTCCGGAAGTAGGCGCCGGGTCCGGAGGAGGAACTGCCCCCCGTGGGGGTGAAGAGGGGCCTCTGGCACCCGTGGAGTGTGGTGGGAGCGGGGGGGGAGGGCGTCTTTCTGCTGTGCCCCGTTGGGCGTGTGGGGCTCTCGGCCTGCCCGGCTGGTGCCGACCTCACTGGTGCCAATGTTCGGGTTTTGTGCCCGGCCCTCCGAATGGCTCCGAGCATCGCAAAGAGGAAGGTCCTGCTTCTTGGGCTGGCGCGGGGACTTATCTGAGAAGGCCCCCCCTGTTACGGACATTTTTGATAAAGCACCTCCAGTTGGCTACATTTCAGAGTTCCCTCGTGCCTCGTTCTTTCTGCAGAGGGGAGAGGGGGGTGTTGCGGGGTTTTGGCCGTCTCGGGGGGGTGCCCCGGGACCTGTACTTCTAGGCATCCTGAGGAGGTTGTTGTTGCCACTGGCCTCTTGCTTGGCAGGCTCCAAAAGAGGCAGAGGAGTGTCTCTGGCAAGGGTGACTGAAGGTCTGGACAACCTCTGGGGGGGAGGGGGGGCGTCAAGGGTCGGAGCTCTGGCAGTTTCCGGGGCCTTTCCAGGGAAGAGAACGGGGAGTTGGTGGGGCGGTGTGTCAGGGCTGGAGTCCCTGTGTCCGGTTCTGGGCACCACATTTGAGGAAGGGTGTTGACAAGCTCAAGCGTGCCCAGAAGAGGGCGACCAGGATGGTGAGAGGGTTGGAATCCAAGTCTTATGAGGAAAGGCTGAAAGAGCTGGGTCTGTTTAGCCTGGGAAGGAGAAGGCTTAGAGGGGACAGGATTACAGTCTTCAAGTATCTGAAGGGCTGCCGTGTAGAAGATGGAGCGGATCTATTCTCTCTTGCTCCGGATTGCAAGACTAGATCGAATGGGTGGAAATTACAAGGGAGTCGTTAGCGGATAAATATCAGGAGAAACTTCCTAACTATCAGAGTGGTTGAGCAGAGGAACAGACTGCCTCAGGAGGTGGTGGATACTCCTTGGCTGGACGTTTCCAAGCGGAGGCTGGACTTGACCGTCTTTCATGTATGCTGTAGGGCTCTCTTTCTGCTGTGCTCCTGCAGAGTGCAGGTGGCTGGACCGGATGGCCTGCAAGGGCCCTTCCAACTCTAATACTCTTATGATTCTAACACGGGGAAGGCCGATGGCAGGGAAGCAGGAGTGAGAGAGAGAGAGAGTCTCCAACTGGTCCGTGCAGCTCTGCGCCAGAACAAGCAGGAGGGTCGGCCAGCAAAGGCCCCTCCCTCTCTTTCTGGGTGGGCGGGGGGCAAAGAGGCTGCTGGCTTGTGGGGGGTCCTCTGGCTTGTCCCTGCAGCCCCTTCAGTGGCTCTGGAAGATGAATCCCCCCCCCTCAAATCCTGCCCCAAGGAAACTGAAATGTTCTGAAGTTGTCTGTGCCAGACGAAATATCTTTTCTTCTCCCTTCAGCGCGGGGCAGTTTCCGTGTTTCTCCCCTTCTTCATTTTATCCTCACGCCAACCCTGTGAGGCAGGTCAGGTCAGCCCAAAGTTACTCAGCGAACTTCCAAGGCAGAGTGGGGATTTGAACCCAGGCCTCCCTTGATCTGCTCTGATGCTCTAGCCACTGGATCAGATCCCGTCTCGAGGGGAGGGCTGGATCGCTAGGCCCCGCCACGCACAGCTTAGCAGAGTCTATAAATTGTACAAGGGTTGTCTAAGCAGGCCAAGGTCAGTTTTCCAAAAAGAAGAAGAATAAGAAGAGAAGAGATTGGATTGATACCCCGCCCTTCACTACCCAAAGGTGTCTCAGAGCGGCTTCCAAACTCCTTTCCCTCCCAGCAAGACAGATACAGCAGCAGCAGGTCAGTGTCTAGGGGAACATGTTGAAGCCACGCATATATATATAAGCCCAGTGTATTGGCACTTTCCAACTCTCCCATTGGCTCTGCTATGCGCTCCATCAGCCATTGGCCCATCAACCTCCACTCAAGAGTACTCACATGCCTTTGGTAGCGGGCAGGGCCCACCCACTGCCGGCTTGGCGGCTTGGCCGTTCCCTGTTTGAATAAACTGCCAAAACTGCTGTGTGGCTCACTTTCCCCTCAGTGGCTGTTGCTAGGCAACCAAGCTTGGTTCTGTCAGTAAAAAAAAGGCAGGGGCAGGAGGCCCTTTCCAGGCCTACTTTGGGTTGCCAGCTCCATATTTGGAAATTCCTGGAGATTTTGTGGTGGAGTCTACGGATGCCAAAGTTTGAGGAGGGGAAACACCTCAGCTGAATAGAATGCCGTAGACTCCACCCTCCAAAGCAGTAATTTTCTCCAGGGGAGACCTAGGTTCTTGCTGTGTGGGTGATTTTGGACCAGTCACAGACTTTCAGCTTAACCTACCTCACAGATAAAAAGGGGGAGGGGAGAATGATGTAACCGCTTTGGTCCCCACTGCGGAGAGTGTACTTTTCCTCCTGGGGAACCATTGTTGCCAATCTCCAGGTTCCACTCACGTCCTGCCCAGAGCCTCTTTCTAGAGCTCATTGTATTTCCACAACGAGCCTTATTCCTAGTACTTTTATAAGCTTCAAGCTCTACATCACGCCAACGACAGCTGCTTCAGGTCTCCTCTGGTGATGTTTCTCATAGAGGAACAAAGCCTGCTGAAGGAAAATCAGTATGGCTTCTGCAAAGGGAAGTCCTTCCTCACCAACCTTTTGGACTTCATTGAGGAGGTGAACAAACACACAGGTAATGGTGACCCTGTCATGGAGTCTGACCTTAACGGTACAGATTTTTGAAGAGAGTAGGCTTGGGAATTTGCATTCAGTTTTCAAATCTGCAAACATGTACATGTTTCTTGCTGTATCAGCAATCTTCTCGCTGCCCAATCCTTGGGAATGAATAAATTGGCTTCGTGCCCGGAATAAACCCAAGGACAAGCTGGACACAGCTTGAAAGAAGCATTCTTTGGGAAAGTGCCATTCGGATGCCCGGAAGGACCTTACATCATGTGTTCAGAGGAAACCAATGAGATGGTTTTAACAGTGGTGATGTTTACCGAACTGAGCATGTACTATAGCCACACACTTAACCCCCTGAATTCGCAGACTCGGGCTGCTGAAAACACTCCAGTAAAAATCTCGGGAACTGTTTCATTTTTTAAAATTTAAGATCGGATACAGAATGACGTACATACCTTTTTATTTCTAATTTCCTTGACATATGATTGTGCTTTTTCTATCATTATTCTTTATTTAAAAATCTCAAGACTGCTTTTAAATAACAATCTTAAAAGGTAACATTGTGATCTTTGGTTGGGGTGCAAAGTTTTCACTTTACACCTGGAATAAACAGACTTTGGCCCTCTTCAGAGGACTGATGACCTGTTACAGACTGATTCTGAGACAGAATAGTAATCTCAATGTGGCCCTGTTTAGGTGAACACATTGCTTTGGAACAAAAACAGACCACTATAAAGCAAATGCTTTCCCCCCTGAGTCGGATAAAACACGGCAGACATTATATACCTGGACATTCAAAAGGCTTTTGACGAGGCCACATTTGCGGGTGACAAAAAGTATTCAGGATAGAGGAAACCGAGGCCGACTCTGAAGAGCCCGTGTGGTAATACTGTGGCTTTTCACTGCAGGCCGCCTCCAGCGGGACTCCGAAGGAGCAGTGTAGAAATATAAATAAATAAATAGTGCCAGGAGGTCCTCCACAGATTGGGTGTGCCGGCAGCGATGCGACCAATGAATGTCAACATAGTGTAAGGTGATGCACACTGGAACAAAAGGATCCGGATCACAAGTATACGCTAACGGGGTCTGAACTTGATGAGCCTGAGAAGGAAACAGATCTTGGGGTCGCAGTGGACACTGTGTTTCCCCTAAGATGAGTGAGTGTGAGACAGCTCACAGTTTTTTATCCTCCTGCTCACACATTTTTGTCTCGGCTCAGGAAGGGACATCTCCAGAGCAAACTAATTCATGCAGCGGCCCAATCGCTGACTCACAATTTTAACGCCGGTAGCTCACCAAGTAGAATTTTTGCTCACAACTCCACAGCTTAGAGCAGTGATGGCAAAACTTTTAGAGATCGAGTGACCAAACTGCGACCCAAACCCCACTTTTTTATCGCAAAGTGCCAACACGGCTGTGACGACCCCTTTTCTGGGGAAGACTGGTTTCCCTTTAAAAGTGGTCTTTATGTTTTGTTCTACTGGGTATATCCGGCTGCCACCAGGAAATTTTAATGTTCTTTGAGGGGGTGAACAAACATGTGGACGAGGGGAACCCAATAGATATTGTTTACCTTGACTTCCAGAAAGCTTTTGATACAGTTCCTCATAAGCAGTGGGGTACCACAGGGATCAGTACTTGGTCCACTGCTTTTTAACTTGTTCGTTAATGATTTGGAGTTGGGAGTAAGCAGTGAAGTGGCTAAATTTGCAGATGACACGAAGTTGTTCAGTGTGGTGAAAACCAGTGAGGATTGTGAGGCACTCCAAAGAGATCTGTCAAAGATGGGCAAGTGGGCGTCAACATGGGAAATGGGTTTCAATGTGGCCAAGTGCAAGGTGATGCACATTGGAGCCAAAAATCCTAAATATAAATACACGTTGATGGGGTCTGAACTGGCAGAGACTGATCAAGAGAGAGATCTTGGAGTTGTAGTAGATAACTCACTGAAAATGTCGAGACAGTGTGTGACTGCAATAAAGAAGGCAAATGCTATGCTGGGGATTATTAGGAAGGGTATTGAAAACAGATCAGCCAATATCATAATTGTTGTTCAGTCGCACAGTCGAGTCCGACTCTTCGCGACCCCATTGACCAGCTCCCGCCAGGCTCTCCTGTCTTCCGCCGTCCTCTGAAGTTGGCTCAATTTCATGTTCGTTGCATCTTTGACACTGTCTAACCATCTCATCCTTTGCCGTCCCCGTCTTCTTTGACCTTCAATCTTTCCCAGCATCAGGGTCTTCT